TTTAATGCAGCTCCTTTGTTTCCTGTCTTTCATGATTGGATGCACTGATTAATCCAGGTGTGTATGACCTAAGTAACTGGCCAGACACACCTGGATTAATCAGTTCGTCCAGTAATGAAAGACAGGAAACAAAGGAGCTGGCTTAAATTCAGGAAGTAGTGGAGCTGTGCATAGAGCCCATTGATCACTGCAGCAGCATCTTCATAGGTTTGCCTAAAAAGTCCATCAGACAGATGCAGATGTTCCAAAATGCTGCTGCCTGTGTTCTCACTAGAACTAAGAAAGTAGAGCACATCAGCCCGTTTCTGAAGTTCTTCACTGGTTCCCTGGAGCTCGGAAAATAGACTTTAAATTCATTCTGATAGTCTAGAAAACACTGAATAGATCAGCACCTCAATAGATAACAGATCTGTTGTCCGTGGAACACAGAGAAGCAGCATTTAGTTCCTATGCTCCACTGATCTGGAACAAACTCCCAGAAAACTGGAAAAGAGCAGAAAGCCTGAGATCTTTAAATTCAAAGCTGGCTTTAACTGTTGAAGTCAAACTCTTAACTGGTCCAACTCTTTTATCTTTTTACTACCTGCTTTTGTCATGTTTCTTCATTGCTTTTATTAACATGGGTTGCTTAGTTTAGAGTGTATCACCTGTTTATTTATAACAGTTTTACCTGATTCTATATGCATACATTGTTTTTAAATGGCAGCCATGTTGAATGTTGAGCTCTGAACTTCTATGAGGATTTTAAAGCCTTAAATTGGGACAAACATTTTTTAAAACATAGCAATAATTCACAATCTGAATACATATTCTATATGACTAAGTTTGTCATTAATAACACTTTATTTTACTGTGTAAAATCCAAAAGGGATGAAGAATCCAATCATCTCTATGCCCACACCTAAACGTTCCCTCCTAAGGGAGCGTCCCCTCTGCTCGTTCCTCTCTGGTGATCGTCACGACTTTCAGAAGTGAATGAATGCATGGCACGAGGTTTGAATGAGTCACAGCTGATGAGGGGAGTTTTGGCTTCTCCCTTTTCTCTGTAGTCCTCCCACTGAGAACACCATGAAGGGATGTGGAGGAGGACGAGCTCATTATTAAATGAGATATCTTGCAGAGTCAAGTTTACCAAGAACTGACTCACTGCTTAGAGTGACAGCTGAAAAGTTCAGTTTCCTAACAGAGAAGCGCCCAGTTATGCAGGAAATATTTATATATTTAACTCACCAAAAGTTTTCTTCTCTATAAACATTTTTCTGATGGACCTGCCGTCATAAAATCCAGTCAACAGTCAATAAAAACCAAAGTGATCCAAAAAAGTAGTCCACAAACGATCTCATAAAGTAAAAGAACACATTTGATACAATTTCTTACACTTAAAAGTAAGAAAATGTGCTACAAAATGATACTGGAAGACTAGTAAAAAGTTTAAATGAGTCTGTAGTTCAGCACAGTATTGAAAGGCAAACGTGTAATTTGCCCAGGTTAAAAAGTAGGGCTGGAAAAATAAGCCAGGCTTTTAATAAGAAACAACAACAGAAGGATAAGACTAAAACACAGAGTCGGTCAAGAGAAAGCCTAACATGATTTAATTAGAAATAAGAATATTAAACAAGACTTATTTGCAGAAGTTTGCCCTGCAACTGAAGAGCTGATGGTTCAAGCTCTGGCAACTACAGAAAAATAAAAGTAATAAACTCA